GCTCTCCTGGAGGAGAGGTCTTCCCCACACGGTCCTGGAGGACAGAAGCTGATCCAGGGTGGAAGGAAGACGGCGAGACTCCAGTTAAGCTACGGCGGTTGTGGAGTCTGCGGTGGTTGTGGTGTCGGCTGCAGTGTTTGGAGTCCTCAGGAAGCGCTAGGAGCATCCATCAACGGAGGGTACTCGGTCGGAGTACAGGGAGCTCCGTTACAGTTGATATATATAACAGGGCTTAATATTTAAAGTCCTACACAACCAGTAAGGCTTTAAAAGTTACTTATATTTTCAGATTCACATAAAACATTTTTTAATTTCTGTTACTGTAAAATGGAATCAACTGCAACATTTGTTTGATTTTGCAATGTTATCTGCAAAGCATATCACAGCTACACTTTTACCACCTTTCTTTATTGTATTACAAAACAAAAATAGGATCTGATAAACCGATACTGACGAGACAGCTTATTATGCAGATATCAGTGTTAGCAGAGCTGCAGATTATGTTGCAGCTGTATAAAAAAATAAATAAAATAACAATATAATAATAAAGAATATTTTATAGAGGTAGCAAATGCAAGTAATGATTGTCTATGACTAATTAATAAACATAAATGTGTATTTTAGAACAAATATTCCTTATAAACTACAATGAACAATTAATTAATTAATTTGAATGCCTTTGAACCCTTGAACTTCTGTTAGTGTTTTAGGGAAGTAGAGGAGATTATATTCAGTAAACACCAAATTGTAGCGAATTAAAAAACAGAATTGCAAAATTTAAAGGGACACTTTAGGCACCCAGAACACTTCATTGAAGTGGTCTGGGTGCAGTGTCCCTGTCCTCTTAAGCCGGTAATGTAAAACATAGCAGTAACTTCAATGTTTTCATTGCGGGGTTAAGAATGTCTCTAGTGGCTAACTACCAGACAACTACTAAAGGCACTTCCAGCAGATTCAAATATATAAAAAATAAGCAAAGTCCAAGCAAGGTGACCAAGAATAGCAGGCAAAAGTGAGGTCAGACAGTTTGAGGTAAGGACAGGCAGAAAAGTCTCATAAATGTTCAGAAAGTTTGGATAAACTTAGTCAAGTCCAGGTAGCTAGAGATCCATTGATAGTGGTCCCCGGTATACAGACACAGGTAAATGTAGCCAAAGATATTGAAAAACTAACCATTGGTCTTAGAGCGCTCAGAGCTTTTATAGTGCGTTTATCTGTTCACCAGTATAGACTTTACCTTTAGGTGGAGTGTCACCTGACTTCATAAATGATGCCAGGTGAAACAGCTACATCTTAGCACATAGATGTAGCAGAGACTGAGGCCAGAATGCCAACCCTGGAAGCATGGACAGTCCAAGCATGGCATGGAGGACTCTGAGGGCAGACCCACTGGGTCCTTGTGACACTCCTTCTGCCACACACATGCACATACTACTAAAGATGACAGAGCTGCGCTAAGTTAAAACACATCTGTGGATCTTATAACAGCTATCAATCAAAGGAAATTCTATGAAAGGAACACTTGAGCATTAGAAAGACAAACATGTTTCATTAACGCTAGAGTGTTTGCAAAGCTACTCAGATTACTGGGCCCCCCCAGAAGTATGTAGTATAAGAGTTTGACTTACCTTTCTCTCTTTCTTCACCCTATAACCCCTTCCCGTGCCAGTGCCGTGGTCGCATCTCCTCCACTTGCTGAGATTATCAATACTGCTGATCTCAGCCAATCCAATGCTTCCTAAAGCATGAGGATGGGGTGTTGTGCATGTGCATCCAATCAGCATCTCCTCATAGAGATGCATGTCTATGTGGAGAGATCAGTGTCTCTATGCTCTGCAATCTTCGGCCAGGTAGTCCCTCTGTGGTTGTCAGAGTGACAGCCACTGGTAGTGACAACCATCATTGGTGGCTTTTGGCAACAATGTAAACACTGCTTTTTCTCAGAAAGGGCTGCGTTTACACTGCTGACCCTGCAAAGACAGTTTATTTGATAATGAACTCATTATTTCGAAGTGATTTTACCTTTGTTCCTGATGGAGGTTCACTCGTTTAAACAATGACTCTCGTTACTGTTCAGATTTATATTTCCCATATTTTCATTCACTACTTTTACAGGCATCCAGTTAAGTCATATATTTTTCTAGAGAAGTTCATTTTCACACTCATCCAAGACTGAAATGTTGAATTATTTTATGATTTAATAAGCTGTGCATGTTTTTGAAACCACAGGATATTACATATAAAAAAATTACATCTAAGAATATACTCACATAAAGATTTCTCTGTTCTTCTTTGTTAGAATTGATCCTTTGGTACAGATGTGATCACAGATGTGATAGCAGCTTTATGATGTTTAACTCTTGATGGAAGAGTCAAACATGACTCTCTTTTCACTGCTACAACACATCAGCCAAAGTAAAGTCTGTTGTTTGTTTTGTAAATAAGGGCATATATATATTTTTTACAGCTTTCACTTTTTATGGATTGTTATGTTTAGGGATTGACTGTATGATTAATGTATAAGTAATCTTTGGCAAAATTTTATATCTAATCATTACAGTTCTTCCCAATTCATTATACATTTCAAGAAATTTACTGTAGCAAGGGGAGAGATTTGTGTCCATTCTATTCATTGTGTTTTCTGAAAAGGCAGTGTTTACATTGAAAAACCTGTAGGGACAGGCTATAGACACCAGAACCACTAACCACTACATTAATTGTTAAGGACTGCGGGTGTGCTATGTCATCCCTAGGGAGGTGTCTGCATGTCCCTGCATGTCTCGCGGTACTTTCAACTTGCCTGATTGTCGGCGTTACCACGCTGGCAATCTCAATCGAAGGGGTTGCCTGACATCCCAGACCCCCTCCGGCAAGATTTGCCCTCCCAGTCTTTTCTAATTTTGCTGTAGTTAGAAAATGGATGTTTTTGCTTCAATTTTACTATTTGGATTTATTTTGCAAACATTCCAAGTTTAGTGAATTACCCTGAGTGTAGTATCTTCCTTTGTCATATACTGTGTGCTGGCTGTATGTGTTGTGAGCTGCCTGTACGTATGTAATGTGTGTGTGCTGCCTGTATGTATGTAATGTGTGTGTGTGTGCTGCCTGTATATAATGTGTGTGTGTGTGTGTGTGCTGCCTGTATGTATGTAATGTGTGATGTGTGCTTTCTGTATGTATGTAATGTGTGTGTACTGCCTATATGTATGTACTGTGTGCCCTGTGTGCTGCTGTGCTGCCTGTATTTATGTAATGTGTGCTGCCTGTATGTAATGTGTGTGTGCTGCCTGTATGTATGTAATGTGTGAGTGTGCTGCTTGTATGTATGTAATGTGTGATGTGTGCTGCCTGTATGTACGGTGTGTGGCGGGCATGGGGGTGCTGTATTTTTAATGTAATGCAATTCAAACTTTTTTTTTCTCTGCAATTTGAGCATTTTATGCATATATAAACTTGATTATAATATATGCACATGGAATTCTTAATATAATGCACATATCTTAATATACATATATAGTACATATGCATAATAGTCTCAAAAAGTAAAGTATAAATTGTTTAATTTAATCAAACCTTATCCCCACTAACCTACACACAGACTTTCTTTGGCCCACACAGTCATTGACTCCACACACTGTCGACCACTGTTACATATATCCACAACACACACTCTGACCACTCCACACACTCCATACTCACACACAGACAAACTAACGAACTTTGGCCCACATTCTGTACAGCCCCATTACATGTCACATGACCATAATCCTTAATCCTGCCGTCATACTGCAGCTTGTCCCCTTCTCTCCAAGCAAAGAGTGACAGCCACCGGGATATGACGTCATGCTACCAGCGGCCATAAATTTTGTGCACTGTAAGGAGTGGCTGCCGCTCCATTCTCGTGCCTACCTGGCGGAGTACTGCCGACCCAGCCAGCTGTAGGCAAATGCAGACAGTGCTTCCACCGCACCAATACTTTTCTGTAGTAGCCCTGCTGCTTGCCGCAGGGCTAAAAGAATAATAGAACTATTCACCTGGTGCCCGAAACTACATCTCCTGGGTGTCGGGCGATGTTAATTTTGCATTTAAATGAAGTTATGAATGCATTTGAGTGAAGTTATGAATGCATGTAAGTGAAGTGATGTTTGCATTTGAGTGAAGTGAATAGGTGTGCGAATGGAGAAGTGTATTTTTGCAGTTAAATCCCTGTACATCCTACTGAAACAAAAAGTTTTGTTCTAACCATGTCACTAGAATTTACAGGCCAGCTACTACTTGCCAGTAACTAATGGCCACACAGGGTGAACTGTGCATGTTCAAGTGTGTTTCTGTGCTTTATCAGCAAGTCGCTAATATGTGAGTAATTGGTATCTGTAGCGGCAGCCATTATTAGTGTTAGGCTACAAAGATTTAGCAACAAAGTTGGAAATCTGGTGATAATTTGTAGCCAAAACAAGCTACAAGCTGCTGTTAATAGTGACAGCATACAGCTGCTTTGTAGTGAGGTTATAAGTAAGCCCTACGTTAGTAAACAAAGTAAGTAAAAGTACCCAGGTACAGGGTTTGTGAGTCCCCTTAGTAATAGGCATTCTGAGCCAGCATCATTCGCTTATTGCAGTGTTACACCCAGTAACAATGTATTTGATACCGGTGCCATATTGTGGCGCATAGACCATTGTTCTCACACTGTTTACAATTATTCAGTTTGTACAGCTGAATTTATTCTATACATTTGTAGCACCATTTGTATTCAGCCCCGTTTATGAAATACACTGCTCAAAAAAATAAAGGGAGCACTTAAACAACACAATGTAACTCCAAGTCAATCACACTTCTGTGAAATCAAACTGTCCACTTAGGAAGCAACACTGAGTGACAATCAATTTCACATGCTGTTGTGCAAATGGGATAGACAACAGGTGGAAATTATAGGCAATTAGCAAAACACCCCCAATAAAGGAGTGGTTCTGCAGTTGGTGACCACAGACCACTTCTCAGTTCCTATGCTTCCTGGCTGATGTATTGGTCACTTTTGAATGCTGGCGGTGCTTTCACTGTAGTGGTAGCATGAGACGGAGTCTACAACCACACAAGTGGCTCAGGTAGTGCAGCTCATCCAGGATGGCACATCAATGCAAGCTGTGGCAAGAAGGTTGGTATAAGGGCCTGACATCCACAGGTGGGGGTTGTGCTTACAGCCCAACACCGTGCAGGATGTTTGGCATTTGCCAGAGAACACCAGAATTGGCAAATTCGTCACGTCTGTCACATGTGCTCAGTGTGAACCTGCTTTCATCTGTGAAGAGCACAGGGCGCCAGTGGCGAATTTGCCAATGTTAAGACACAATGTAGTGCTGAGTCCATACACACACACAGACACACAAACTGCTAAGTCCATACACACACAGAGACTGCTTAGTCCAGCCACACACACACAGGCACACACACAGACTGCTGAGTCCATACACACACAGACTGCTGAGTCCATACACACACAAAAGCTTCCTCACTAGCAGACACACACATACAGATTGCTGAGTCCATACACAGACTGTCACGTATTCATCCGCTTGTTAAGATGTGGTTAATGGCATTTACTGTCCATACAGGAAAAGTTGTGCCGAGCAGCAACCAAATCCACAGAAGGGTTAATGCTGGGCAGCAATTATCCAAATGGGAACCTGGTAACTGCCTTTGGGGTCAAAGGCCGGTTACAGCCTATCAGATTTAGAGGAGGGGTATTAAGGCCCAGTTCTCATCCTGTTCAGTGCCCTGTCGTGGTTTCCCTTGTGGTTGTCCGAGAACACGGTCCTGATTCAAGTTTCTTCTGGTTTTTGACTTTGGGTTTGATTTTGACTTCCCTGTTTTCTGGTATCCCTGACTTCTGGCTTTCTCTTATCATTGTGTCTTTTTCTGTATCCCCTGACCTCGGCAAGTATCCTGACTATTCTTTTGTAAGTTAAGTCCGGCCATTCTAAGGCCCGGTAATTCGTTACCTATTAGTCATCTGTGTGACACAATTCTACGTGCTGGATCAACTAGTAATCCTGACACAGACACACAGACTGGTGAGTCCATACACACACACACCGACACACAGACTGCTGAGTCCATACACACACACACACACCGACACACAGACTGCTGAGTCCATACACACACACAGATACACAGACTGCTGAGTCCATACACACACATAGACTGCTGAGTCCATACACACACATAGACTGCTGAGTCCATACACACACATAGACTGCTGAGTCCATACACACACACAGACTGCTGAGTCCATACACACACACACACACACAAGCTTCCTCACTAGCAGACACACACACACACACACAAGCATTTCAAGCCTACCTGTCACTGGAGGCCCCAGCATCTCTCCATAGACAATACCCAGCACTTCATTCCCTCGGGCTGTAACAGACTGTTACAGTCCGAGGGAATAGAATTTAAGAACATGGCCAGCAAGTTGCCGGCATTTGGGGGGGGGCACAGCAGCGATGCCACTGGATCTGCCTCCTTGACAGTCTCAGCCAAGCCTATGGGAAAGCATTGTGATTGTCTCACATAATCACTTCTGATGATGTCAGACATGCAGGCAGTTCAGGGGCAGAGGCAACAGCTGCAGACTTGAATACAAGTAAGATTTTACTATATTTAGCGTGGGAAGGGGGGTCAGGGGAGTGTGGGCCCATGTGTCTGTTTTATTGACCCTATAGTGTTCCATTAATGACTGCACATCTCAAATGTTAGCCTGATACATGTGTGACATTCTGTCCTAAAATGTATCTATTAAAGGGGAATTTTAACTTTTCTGGAGATTACAGCATTCTATTACACACTGAAAATCACTTGTGTTAGCTTTTTTTTCTCATGTTAGAAATTAAAGGGACACTATAGCCACCCAGACCACTTCATCTCTTTGTAGTCGTCTGGGTGCAGTGTTCCTGTCCCACTTAGTCCTGCAATGTAAATCATTGCAGTTTTGGAGATACCATGAGCAGCAGAACTAAACGTGAAGTAATGGAAGAAGGTTGCCTGGTTCTCAAAAATACCATTGACACTGGCCCAACCTGTGTGTTTGATATGCAAGGTTTAAAATGTACAGGTTACTCATTGAGTTTATATATCAAATAATTGCTTCATTAGTTATGCATATGAAATATGACATGATATCACAAGTGGATTTGAAATAAAAACATATCTCCAGGCCTGATGTGTGCATCATCTTAAAGCAATGCAGAGCTATTAAAAGTAATTATATCATTTTTTTAGATTTGTTTTTTCTTATCTGTACATGCTGGCTTGTCTATAATGTGATGCTAACGTCAGCCCATTAACTCTGCAGTCAGTCCGCTGACCCATATTGTACGATTATCCTTTTAGTGGAATCCTTTAAGCCAAGTCTCCTTCTCAGTTCTGCAACTGCTTTTTATATAATACAGCTTCTTTTTTAAACCATGATAAACCATGATACAGGCACAGCATTCCTCATATAATTATCTAGAACACCTTGTACTAGAAACACGTTTTGATGTAAAAAATAGAAGAAAAATTCACTAAAGGGAGCACAGATTCAGCCTGTTCCTAGCTAAAAAATTTATTAATTCAAGAACAACCTTAGACATCCTGCCAGGGCACTTTTTCTTTTCCTTTTGCAATTACCCATAATCTTAACCTTAGTAGCATCTTATATTCATTACTTGGACATTAGGCTGTTATCTGGTTAGCATTCAGCAGGAGCCAATTTTAAATAAATGCTACTACTGCCATGAGGTTCAAGGATCAAGCGGAACAAACTGGACATCCTTTTGGCAAGAGGTCTCAAGCTGTGATTTAAAAAAACGAAGCAAATTACAGCAGCGTATGCTAAGAGTGGAAAATTATCATATCCCCAGCTGAAATGAGTGAGATCTTTCGGGAATATTTTAATAAAAAAAAAAAAAAAAATAATCTAAATAATCGCTTTCCTTAACTTTGTTATCTTGACCTTGACGCATGGGCCTTTTTCCCCCTACATGACCTGTCAAGGACTCTTTAGTAATAGTCTCAAACTCCAATAAATGTATACAAGCAGCCCACAGAGCATTGGGCTGCTGGGAAGCTTCAGGACACAGTCCATACCATATACCAGGGGTAGGCAACCTTTTAGCAGCACTGTGCCGATATAGGATTGTGATGTCCCGTAGCGTGCCGATCCTATTTTTTTAAATTGAGGTGTGTATGCTGCCGTATTCTGCTTGTGTTATTTTTACTGTAATTGCTTTGTATCGTTGTATTTGTGCGTATATGAGCTATTATATTGTATATGTTCATTAGTAGTTTATGGTATTGTGTATGATACATATGAATGTGGGCTGTGTATGAGTGCTGCTTGTGGAATTGTGTGTGGATGTATATGTCACTTTGTGTGTTTGGTAGTGTGTGGAGGTTGTTTGGGGTATTGCATGTGAGAGGCTGCATGTGGGGTTGTGTGCATGTATGTATATTGTTAGTGGTGTTGCGTTTGTGGGGATTGTGTGTTGTGTGTGTGGGCTGTTCATATTATTTGTATGAGGGGAGGGTTATTCTACATTTCTGTGTATATCTAGCAGTGTGGGTGGGTTCCCTGGGTTCCAGGCTGGCCAGGCACAGGTCAAGGACAGGAGCTGTCGAGGGCTGCTCTACTACAGTGTGGATTCCCATTCACAAGTGCTGACAGGAAGTAATCTGAGATCACTTCCTCTATGTGCTGCAATGCATAAATTAAGGTTTGTCCTTCACCACCTCTTCGTATTAGCAGATATCTGAAGTTTTACTGGGACTCCTGCCATAGACACTGCAAAATGAAAGATTTAAAACCCCTAGACAAGCTGATAACCATGGTTTATTGTACTGTGATATCCTATTCTAAAGTGTAGTCCTCTTGGGTGGAATACAAGGTTACTTTGGTTTACGTTGCGTGCAAGCTGCCTCTTTTAGCTTTCTTACTTTGCAGAGGATTCCCCCTCCACCCATTTCATGCTCTATATTTTATTAACCTCATTTTGCTCCTATTTACAGGGTTGCTGCTTATATGTGAAAAATTAAGATTCATACAGAATTGTTAACTTTATGGCATTATTGTATTGCATTCATCTGCTCAACTTTAAAAGAATAAATTTAAATAAAAAACAAGACAATAGATAGGATCCATTTAGCTCAATGAAGTTTCAATAAAGTTAATAGAAAATACAGCTGAAATAAAATTACTTTTTCACTGAATGAAAATGGATGAATTTGCTAAAAGACAGGCCCCACAGATTAAATTCATATTTCCAATTTTTTATTTTTTTTAAAGGGACACTATAGGCACCTAGACCACCTTTATGTTACTATATCTTTGAAGTAGTCTGGGTGTAGTAATTATGGCAGTTATTGAGAAACTGCATTAATTACATTGAAAGGCTAACTCCACCTCTACCAGACAGCCACCAGGTCGCAAGAGGACATCCAGTGTCAGCTAAAACACCATAGGAAAGCATTGAGTCAATGCTTTGCTATGAGATTGTCCTAATGCTCACCGCGCATGTGCATTATGTCGCTGACATCGGGGGAGGAGAAGCGGAGGCGAAGCCTGACACAGCACCGAGGGACATTTTTAACCCTTTCTGTGCTGTGGGGGGGAAGGGGTTGGGCAAGTGAGAGGAGCACTATAGGGCAATATTGTGCTAGGAATACAATTTTGTATTCCTAGCCTATAGTTTCTCTTTAATGTCCATTACCAATACACTATTATTTTATTGTAACATTCTTCTTATTTTTTTTTTAATTCTTTATTTTTGCTCAACACAACGTCGTGGAGGAGCAGCAGTTTGTCAGAGTAATACTGCTATGTTTATTAAAAAAAAAGGGGTAATCCTAGCTGGACCTGGCACCCAGACCACTTCATTAAGCGGAACCGGTCTGGGTGCCTAGAGTGGTCCTTTAACCTTCCCTTGTAAGTTTTATCCTGAAGTCCATGAAGCAGCTTAGTAGCCCTTCTCTGAACTCTTTTTAAAGTATCAATATCCTTCTGAAGATACGGTCTTCAGAAGTATGGATATTCGCTGGAACAAAAAGGGTAACTTTCGCTATGTCCCATTTACTGGGACTTAGCGTCCAGCGGGAGGCCCAGGGTCTCAAGTAGGGCGGTAGCCTTGGTCAAATCACGAACCTTGTGGGTAACATTGTCCTGTAAGACCTGCAACTTCCTCGGTGAGCGCCATCTGTAACAAATGTCTCTGCTTCGGAGTGCTGACGTAAAGGGTTGTAGGGATCTTCTCCATTTTAGTCTTTACCCTGAGAGGTCTGTGTAAAATGTCAGCGACATATTCTCGAACGCGTAAGGTGATGTGGCCATCAGCGCCTACAGTACTGCCGCTTTATCCCTGTTGCAGGTAAATCATACCACTATGTCTTTAGTGGCTGACTCCGATGCTCTCTGGGGTTTTAGAACTCGGAAGGTCCCATCTATATGGATGCTTTTGACCTGTTTGGGAGTTAGCAAGGCCCCAATCAGTCTTCGCGCCAGTTCTGCCATGGGTAATTCTTTGGGGACTCCTCGAACCTTGATATTGTTGCGGCGCTGTGCGTCTTCCAGTAGGGCAAAAACGCTGCTCGAAGGTAAGTTGTTGCTTTTTAAGGTATCGCACTTCCTCTTCTAGACTGCTGTGTTGATATCAGTTCCACGGTCTCTATGCGACCCACAAGACCTGAGTGGTCAGAGCCTAGGGAGGTCACATCAGCCTGAATGGGTTTCTGAAGGTTGGCTAGCAGTTCCTTCAGGGTGGCCGTGGTCACAGGCTGGGAGTCAGCACTCTGAGGAGCAGTCGGGGCATGATGTGGAGGTGGCATGATAGTTGTCCCCCTGTCCAGCATCAGTTCTTCCGAGGAATCTGAGAAGTCATTGTAGTCTACCAGACAGCCACTGGGGGTGCTTTCGGAACCCAGACGGACTTTTGGTCCGTTATCTGACGCTGGACGTCTTCACGGACCCCTAGAGTCAGATTTTCCCTATAGGAAAGCATTGAATAATGCTTTTCTATGAGGAGGTCTAATGTGCGCACGGCCATTGGAGTGTGGGTGGAGCCTGACCCAGTGCCAAGGGACATCGGCGCTGGATTCAGGTAAGTGACTGAAATTTAGGCCAATTTAAGTCTTACAGCCTTTTAGAAGATAACTCCCAAATACCGTGGTACAAATTGAATCAGAGTTTCTGATAAAGAAATTCCAATACGAAAAAAGTGCCGAATTGAGTTCTAAAACAAACTAACATACTGTTCTCATTCAGTTAGAATGCAATTCGGCAGTTTCGTCTAAAATGACAGGAAGCATCACAGAGGAAAGGTAAGAATTATGGGAAAATTGTTCTAACAAGTGGAAATGAAGCACACTTTGCTCCTCTGCTGGTCAAAGCTGGTCAAGCGGAGGAAACCTCCATAAGGCAAAGAGTCCCTACTTTGTCTTATGATTTTAAAGAAAACTAAAGAAGACAGAAAGAAAAGAACAGATCCTGAGAGAGGGGGAGAAGAGGAAGAGATTGAGGAAAGGTAAGTTCGGCATGACAGTGCCGCTTTAAGTTAAAACCCTTAAAAATGTTCTCCATATTACATGACACTAACAAATGCAGAGTCTCTTACAACACAGACTAATTTGTATAACATGTCCAAGGTTATTTATACAGTATAACAAGACAAACTTGGCAACACCAATAATTCATAGACATTGTATCAAATATAGCGGTCCCAAACAGAAAGAAAGAGGGTTTATTACAGCAGGAATCTTATAGCTATTTTCAGTAGAACACATCTAGTAATTTTTCATTATCTTGATCTTGTTTAATTGGATTAAACAAGTCCAGTTGTTAGCTGTGTGGGCCGCTGTAATGATATTAAACACAGGAAGCGTGCACCTTGTGACAAACTATGTAACAAACATTTCAAGGACAGTCATTGTCTGGGAACATGATCAGGTGGGCTGAATTTACAGAACATTAACGCGTTAAGTTTACAATGTGCGATTGAACATCACACGAACCGGTAACGATTCCTTTCCGACTATGAATCCACAACGTAAAAATCTTTTTCAGACGTGAATTTCAAATTTTAGGTCTAAAAAGAGATTATAGCTGAATAGAAAGGTTTTCCACTTTTTTTGCCTGAAATGTAACATTTACTTTGAATTTCAAACATTACATACATAATCCTGAAAACAACAACAGAAAAGTCTTAAGTTTGCCTCAAAAAGATGTGTCTGCTTTTAAAACATCCTTGTGCCAGCATGTGAAAAATATAATAATATTTATGGATAGGCATGTTAGTGTTGACAAAATGTTTGTTCCTGCTGCGACGAGTGAACAGAAGTTAAGAGATTTTCTGGTTTGTTTGCACAGTGTTGGTGGTGTCCGTGGTTTGTTGCTGTTCTTGCTCTTTTTTAGCACGTTCACGTAGTTCCTTCGCAGACCACGGACGGAGGACACAAACTGCTGCTCTGCCATCTTTGACCAGTTTCGGATTAAACATACACGTTGCATGTTGTGCCATCGATTCAACTATTTGATTTAATAAATCCTATAAAAAAAAAAAAAAAAAAAAGAAAGAAAGTCAAACATTTCAAGGACAATCATTGTCTGGGAACATGATCAGGTGGGTTGAATTTACAGAACATTAACGCGTTACGTTTACAATGTGCGATTGAACATCACACGAACCGGTAACGATTCCTTTCCGACTATGAATCCACAACGTAAAAATCTTGTCAATCCACTTGCCAAGGATTTTGTAACTCGTAGATTGTGTTTAAGCAGGTATCTATTATTTTATTCACCGACTGGTTCTTTTTAAATGTTTTCAGAAGTGAATTTCAAATTTTAGGTCTAAAAAGAGATTATAGCTGAATAGAAATGTTACAGAACTTTTTTTTTAACATTGAATATTGCTAAAAAAAAAAAGTAGAGCTTTTAAATAACTTTTTTATATCACAAACTATTCCGTCTATACCAGAATATGCACTTTTTAGCATTTTACGCCCACCTTTCATATCCAACAATATATAAATATAGCCCACCTCCCCATCAGTACCACTATTTAATGAAAAACTTAAAAATTCACGTTTAGAATGAATTGCTCTCAAAAGTTTTTCCACAGGTGAAAACATTATATCCTTACCCATGTTGTAAAAACAAAACAACAAAGTTCAATCCTATCCACATAGGAAACCTACCATAAAATATTCTTCCCAAACTCCCATTCCCTCTGGGTCAAAATAGATTTACTGCCCCCATCCCACTACCACTGCTCCATAATTATTTACCATTTCGACATACTATTCCTTATCTCTTGTTTTCCATTCTCTTTGTTAACAGTATATACAGCTGTTGTGTTCAATTGTATTTAAACGTTAAAAGATCCATGAACAAATGTCCTTATCTGTCATGATGTTCTTTCTTGTACAATCATCTCAATAAACATTATACCTTGTATTGTACTCCTTTATTGCTCAATAAAATGGTAGTAAAAAAAAAAAAAAAACACCCAAACATCGGGAATAAATGCCACATTGCATAGCAAATACGTGTTTCCATAAGTACTTACTACGCAAATTGGAATTCCCCAAGATGTGGATGAACTTACCCGGGCCCGTACAGTCATAAGAAAGCTGTTCACGTCACAAGCACGTTCTTAGAGGGAAAATGAGAATCTAACCTTGTGGTTGACTCCCATTGGCCCATGTCATTCCGGCACCCCCATCCATGCACATTTTGGGGCACAAGCATGACGTGGACCAATCAAATGAAACCCTGGGTTATTTAAACTTATCTGGCCCTACATACTGTGCCCTGTTGTGACCTCTCAGGCATCACACTGGGAACTACATTTCCCACTACACCTAGCGGATGGCTAATTAAGCCGTGCACGTGACTCACGTCATGTGCTCTGGATTCAAACAGACAAAACTGGTCCACAAACCTATACATATCGTTATTTAACACTGCTTATATTATTTGTTATGTATATAATGACGATGTATGCTGATTGGATGCAAGTCTGTGACTCAATTTTGGCACCAATTTTAAAATAATCTCTTCCCTATATAAGCTCCTACTAGCCAGGTTGTATGTTTTTTATACCATTTGAGAAAGCCTATATTGGTGAAATGCGTAATGGTTATTCTATATTGTGTATTTTAGATCAATTAAAGGTTTTTGGTTACTTTACTGTGCCAATTCTCTTTTTATTGTATTGTTATGCATTTTTACTATTTTTACTTTCCTGGCTTTTTACTGTTGTTCCAGGACTTAAAGAAATCCCAGGTGGGGATCATACCACCAACGCTTTATTAATAGAGCAGTGTTTTCTGCTCTATGCTCGTGGCTATTATTTTATTTACTTTTATTTACTATTTAGCAGGGATTATACCGCTGAACACCCTTCACACCAGAGCTGGCCATAGCTCTTTTAAATGTGAGTTCTCTACCACCTACTACTATTTTACTCTTTGGATTTTAGACGTATTGCACTACTGGCTGCCTGTCTCTTTGTCTTTCATACATACGAATACCCTGAGACATTAGGAAGTCCCCACCCCTACAGAAAAGTCTACTCATCTACACTCCATCAAGCATTGTTGCTCTAGTGAGACTCTTTTAGACTATTTTATGTTATTTTATTCCTCTACTGGTGCAGCCCTACCCCATCTCTTTGTATTTTCTCATCTATCTACTGAAAAATTTGAGGGGTCTCCTTCGTTTGAGTTGCTGCCTATTTTCATATTATCTGTTGATTAGCGCTGATTTACTTTTGTATTTTATGTAGTTTTCCTAACACCTGCCCGTTCCCGCATTGCCTACTCTCATTTGCAGGATTTTTCAAGGGCTGCCCCATTTCTTTGGAATTCGTTACCTGGTAGCACTCTCCCCTAGCCTCCAGTCTTTTAAGAAGTCACCTCTTCAAGAAAGTTTACCATCTTCCTGGGTGACCATTCTCTCATTTCACTGCCCTCATCAGTTCCCTCATCTCCATAGCCCAGCTCACTCTCTCACCTACCACTGTTCAGTTCTTTCACAAACCACTTTAAATAGCGAATTTCGACACAGGCACATTAGCCATCAATCCTTCCTCCCCTCTGACACGCTGTTATTTCTCTTTTGTGTCTTTACCCCTTCCTTATAGACTGTGAGCTCGTTTTGAGCAGGGCCTTCTCACCTCCTTTCTCTGTTTTATTCTGTATGTAAACTACTTAAAATATATCCCTGTTTTATCATTGTAAAGCGCTGCGGCATATGGTGGCGCTATATAAATGATAAATAGTAATAATAATACTAATGTTGACTTCACAGTGAAAGTTCACTCTAACCCCTATAACAGGAAAGGCTCAGTGCATATACAGTTGGGGTGCAGTGAGTTTTGTTTCCTGCAGCCCTGCACAGAGTGGCTTATAAATAAAACTATTTACTAAAATATAATCTGTGCTGACTTGGATATCAGAAGAAGTAGTTTAATGTCTTCCTTGCATGTGTTTACAACATGTGCATGCAAGACCAGCGCGCATGCTACACAAATCCCAAACTCCCTCAAATGCCTCCTTGGTCACCAAACCGAATATAGGGCTGTGAGAAGGCTGATTAGCAATTTGGGTAGAGACATGGAACTGCGGCTGGTGACTGAACCACGTATCACACAAGTCTCTGCTAGCCATAGTTCTATGAGATTTTAAAGTGATTTTTTTTTTTAACAAAATTTTTGCATATACACACACACACATTACATATTTATCTATTTATACAGACACACACACACACACACACAAATGAAAAAGGAAATTATATTTTGTCCTAGCTCTTTCATGCTACCAGGAAATCACACAGTCACACTAAACACTAACCGTATCTTACTTTTTGCATCAGGAACGCTAAATGTGCTGACACCAAACTCTATTTTTAGGAAATGTAGACACCTTTGTCAATACAATCCTACCGTTTCCTCTGCTAAATGCATGTTCATAGCCCTGTCACTTGCTAGCATTAGTGATCACTAATAGTTTGAGTATTTATTTATTCCTGAAAGGCACTGTAGAAGAGATTGGGATAGAGCAACATGGCAGAGTTCGGTGGGCAGGGCAGCCATATAAAAGTCCATGTGGATAGACAGCGAGCTGTTCGTAAATGGACATGCTTCTCCATTGAGAACACAATGCTTCTCCATGAGAAACAATGGATTGGCTGTTTGTTCAGGTAGCCATGAATAGGCAGTTTGTCCTCAACGTTGCAAAATAAAAAACAGTTCTACAGCTAATGAAAGGTAATGTTTTAGCGTGTTGTAGTAGTTATGGTGCTCTAAGACTGCCTTTAAATCATATGCTATAAAAAAAAAAAAAGGAGCTTTTTAATGATGGTATGAATCATTTATCAGTGTGCAACGATTGGGCGGCTCCACAAAATGTGTAGGGACCACTCAAAATCTTTTTTCACTGCCAATTTAAGTTTAGGGGAATTTAAAAAAATAAATAAAAAAATGTAACATACAATTTCCCTTTTTAAAAAAGCAGATTCACCCTGATCTTATCATCCGCACAGAGATTCCATTTAAAACTTCAGCGATTTGATGTAAAAAATAAATAAATAAATAAATAATAAAAAAAAGTAACTGCACCATAATGTTTGTAATAATGCAAAGTTGTGATGGTGTGAACTGGTGCAACCTTTTTAACATTGACACACTGAGAAAAAGATTTAAAAAAAAAAACTAAAAAAAAATAAAACCCCAACTCTGATGTAATCTACTTAAAGAAAGACATAATTGTCTTGCTTCGTTGTGTATTATTTTGTAATGAATCCTTTAATTTAATAACTTTTAATGTATCTCTCAGCTTAGCCTTATTTGAAGGGGCGGGGCACAGTTATATTTTGGTCTGAAACACAATAGATTGCATTTTTGAGATGCCCAGCAGTTGCGATGATTTGTGAACACAGTTTAGCTCTTGACTGCCCTGCAGAATTTTGGTTAGATAAGTGTATCCAACCAAATAGGAGTTAAAGATGAAGCAGTAGATGCACTGAAAATAGGTATTTACTTATATGCAATCATTATAAAAATAATACGCACCAGGTTATAATACATGTAATTATTTTAAAAATAATTTACATGTTTGACAGTTGTCCTTTAATTTATATTCTTTTTTTTTGACAATCTTTATTTTCAAGTTTTATCATTTTTTCAAGGATAGATGTAGTAACGGTATAACGTCAATTTTAACATCAGTGTTCTGAATAGCTTAACATTAATTTATATTCTTATTACCTTTAAGTTAAACTCTGATTACCTGGCTACTGTTTCCTGCAAATACACTAAAAATCCAGATATTTTATTATAATTTATGCATCCCCTACTTTTGTCTACACAAGTGCCCGCTCAGGGCCACATTTATCCTCCTTCCTGCTCCAGGGCCAGTTTGCTCAATGTTCTCCCTATATTACACATACATATATGCAAATGTTTATGATTGGGCGCGTTAATGCAAGGTTTGTCGAAATGCTGCCTGTGCTGGGGCCGCTTGTTATGTTGTGTTGTGTGGGCATGTAAATAGGGGCTGTAGCGTGTTTATTTGAGAGAATAGGACCTTTTTGTGTGTTTGTTGTTGGCGGGGGTGATTAAGCCCAGGGCGCATGCCACCTACACTATACTGTGTGGAGCTAATGGAAGAGGAAGGACTGGAGATGGTGCACCGAGGATTTATATCTAGAGCTGATTTCTATTGAAATCACAGTTTTGTAATAACAGTAAAAAAACATGAGAGATTCCACACACACAAAGCATGTAAGCAAGCTGAAGTGCTTTATATGCATGGAGTGTTTTTTTAATGCTGTGGTTCTACATAAACTTGTTTATTTAACGATTGAAACAAGAATGAGTACCAATTATTATTACTCCTGTCAAGTCAGTTACTCCCATCAAAATGCACATCACTCTACACTGGTAAAATGTACAGCTCTTTGGGGGGGGCAGAAATTAACTGTTAAATGTCCCTTTGAATTTTGTAACATATAATAATTCTAAAATACATAATGGAAAAATTCCCAGGATCTAAGCTAATGCTGGCTGTTCAAACGAAGATCCATATTAGGTATAAAGATCACAGCTGTGACCAACCCCCAAATTCCTGTGGGTACATAAATCTCTGGAGAGTGGAGACCTTACGCAAATCTTCAATTTTGGCATGAGGAGTCAGGAGACAGGTTAGCCCCACAGTTCAAGCTTTCCATTTCCCTTCTATGTTTCTCTTTCCATTACTCAAACTGTAGTTTAGACTACAGCCTCATCTAAAATCAAATTACAAAATGTAAAAAAACAAGCCAGTTCCAAGAAAACAAAACCTATTTTGCTTACCAGCTTGACATTTTCCCCTCCAACGCCCCCTTTTTGGACAGTAATTCGAACATGATGTTTCTTTTCAATCCAGTGCGAAATCTGCTTGAGCTTTACGTCTAGGTCATGCTTTGCAATTGTGGCAGAGAAGGACAATTCTTTAATCTGTACTGGACCTGCATTGAAAGAAAAACATGCCATTCTGCATTTATAACTGTCCTATATGGGATTAGTTGATCATAACTAGCATTATTCAAGAACCACTTGCAGGTCGTAATAAAAGTTCACAAGATCACAAGAAAATGCTACTCTTTCACCACAGCTTGTTTCTGATGACATAGTATATCCAAAGGAACTCCAGGTTACATTAATTATTAATCATTCAAAAACCAGATATAGGCATTTTTCAAAATACAGTGTGGGAAGAAGATTGGATGAAATGTGATTTGGACAATGGAATGGGGAGGTATCTACAAAAGCTCATAAATCATATGTCTAAAAGCAAACCTATACATGTACTATGAATTAAGAAAACTTGTACTTCACCCCACAATACTATATTAGACCCTGTTGTTTTTTTTTCATATGTCTTATTTAAAGTAACTCTCTGACACCATAACAACTTAACTATCTGCTCGATGGATATTCCAACCTACCAAAACATTCCCATCACCACTTTACAAACAAAATCTATAGTACTCTAAACAAACATACAGCATAAGGAACGAAGTGCTAAAGTGTAATACTAGTTAGACACCAACAATACTTATCATCTTAAAAATGTGTGGTCCCCGTTGCCTTCACCACTAATCTACATTAAATACCAACAATACATTTTAACAAGGTGCATACCATGATTGGAGGAGAGTTTTTGTTTTTCTCGAAGCTTGAGCTGTTCTTCGTGGATCTGTTTTCCCGTTAGCAATCTATATATTGGGGGATCTGCATTTTCATTAACAGGAACCAATTTAAGACCTCGTTCATCCATGATACGTATAACATCTGCTCTGTGCATGTTGCCCAAGTCCTCGCCATGATCATCGAAGACATGTATGAAGCGATGGTGAATTTTCCGACCTACACTTCCAAAGAACTTAGCAGCATTTGGGTTTTCCTTCTTTTTTGAACTTCCCTTTACTTCTTTGTCCTCACTTTGCTCCACAGAGGAATATGGTTTGGCATGGATAGAGGGGGCTCCATTTCTGGTCCAAGTCACAGAATTTAAGGGCAGAAAGTTGGTCACTTTAAACCACTGAGAAGGAAGCCCAAGGTGCTTTCCAAAATGGCAACTTCTATTAGCTGCTGCCTGACAAATAATTTTTCGTAGATGAAAACCAGACATTCTGCAAAACAAAAACCATAGAGAATTTAAAAAAAAAAATGTCTCAAAAGCAAATTATTAAAAATAGATTTTCAAATACTGCTGAGATTTGGTTACGTTTAAATAACTTTAATTGGATTTTTTTTTAAGAAAATTATTTTTTATTAAATCAATCAACTTAAACTGCCTACAGGAAAGGGTACAATTGATGAAATTCACTTTCAAACCTAAAACCAATGGGGAAAACACTGTCAAAGTTAAAATCACTAAACGCCAAATGTTTGGGAATTAATTCTGAATGGCAAAATGGTAAATAGATAAAATATTATTTAGCTACAGTCACAGTTTGGCTATTTTTGTCTCAGTTTTGCCATTCTGATTTAATTTGTGAAAATTCTGACGGTTAAGCTCTCAGCCTCTGTGCCTCCTGCTTTTTTTATGGGAAATTCTGATCCCCCATCAGATCCATAGACTTAGTAGAAAATATTATATATATATATATATATATATATATATATATATATATATATATATATATATATATATATACACAAAATCAATCAGGATGTTGTCGGGTCGAAACGTTGATGTGAGTTATTAACATTGGATTAAATACCTTTTTTGAAAATCCAAGGGAGTGCTCCTGATTGATTGCATGTATCTACTGGCTTAGAAGCACCCGGGTAATATTACTCCCCGTATATTTTTGGAGGATGAGTGCCAGAGTTTGGCCTTTTTTATATATATATATATATATATATATATATATATATATATATATATATATATATTTAAAAAAAATTCCATTCATTATTTATCATATATTTCTTGGATCTTTTGGTGCTCTCAACTATGGACTCCCAGGGTGTCTTTTTTCCCCCTGTGGTCCACGGTTCAGAAGTGACTTGGGTCATTATATTTAATTCATGTCTATTTTCTTTTCTTTATGTACGTGTATGCATTTACTTCTATTTTCTTTTTTATAGTTGTTGTTATGTTTGTTTATTTTTGTGGTATATATGGGGCCCCATATATTTTTTATCTATTATATTGTTACCTACCCTTCTTACTGTTGATCTCTAGTGCATATATTTATCTTGTGCTTTTTATATGTTAATCATGTACTGATATATGTACACGACTGTCTTTTTTGCCGTGTGCATGTTGGGAGAAGGCAAGTTTTATATGGAGCTGGTTATCAAGTCCCACTAACGCTATTTTTTATTAGATTACTCTTTCTGGCTACTCTGAATCACCGATTCTTTGCACGTATCTACGTCTAAAGTCGCGCCAAAGGGATGACGTCAGACGAACACGGAAGTCACTCCATTCTGATCTATCTTTACTGGCATTATTCCTCCACCACCTACAGGCTTTTGTTTTTAATCAGGCAATTATTTCCCTGATATTATCCAGGGTATATATAGGAACAGAGACCACTGGGTTAGATATTCTCCCTGAGGAAGGCTAAGACGCTGAAACGTTGGGGTTGTATTATCTCCTGGTCTTAGGTCAGTATGTCTGCAATGTTATGGGTTTATGGGTTCCAACTTTGAGCACTTACTAATGTATCTATAGTGGTTATGGGTATGCTATCTACTGTTTATATGCCTGTACTATTTTCTGCACTTTCTTTCTACAATCTATATTTAGCCACTGTATGAATAAAAATATTTTTATGTGCAAATATACTGACTTCTCTTGCCTTTGTTTCAATGCGAAAACCTTATTCTTGATGACAGTAATAAAGTTATCAGTCACGCTATAAACTGCGCATGCATGGTCTGCATTTCAATTGATGCTAAATTACTGGACAGGGAATTATGGGATAAGATAAGTCCCTAAAGAAAACAAGAAGATGTTTCTCCTGGAGTGTTTTGTCTGTAGCTGCATGCAGACTTCCTAATCAGTGATTTAACAGCTAGTTGAAAAAAGTGCAGAACTTTGGTTATAAGAACTTTAAAAAAAAAAAAAAAAAAAAATTTGCTATAATTTTAATGCTTTTTCTATATAATGCATTGAAAAAATACTAGGTCAAAATTTACTTAGACACTCCATGGAAGAGAGTGTAGATTAGTTACCTGTTTAATTGATTTTTAACTGACGCTGTAGGTCCTCTTCAAAGAAAACTTGGTTTACATTCTTCATGGACGGAGATCATTCTGGGGATAGAGAAATAAACTGTTAGTGCAGTCTCAAATGCTAGCATGAACACAACACCAATTAGTTTGATACACACACAATATCAGATCAAAGCTGGGATTAACATTTGGGAAATCTCCCAGGCAGAGCATGTCTATTAGTTTCCTTTCATGTGACTGTACTGAAGGAATATAATTACTTGCTTTATAAAAAGTGTCAGGTTGTAAAATTAGATATGTTACCTGGCTATATGGATAGGGAAAAGAACAAAATGAGCTTTGTTTTCTTTTTTAACTTTTTTTTATGTATAAATAATCTGATCAGAACATGCCAGGGCCAGACTTGCCATAAGGTCATCAAGGCCACTTGCCCCCCACCAAAGTAAGCCTCAGGAAAGGGGGGAAGAAACTTCAGTTTAGTTTTTGATTTTTTTTTTTCATTAAAATGTCCCTCTGCCAATATAAACCGCCTAAGCTTGTATCCTCTACTATTGCCCCCCTACCTCACTACAGCCTCTACCCCCACTTTAAACTCTATCCCACCCATAATACCCATTATCCTCCCACGACAGCCTTTATCCCCCCCACTATAGCCACTATCCCTTATCTAATGTAGCCGCCATTTGTAGCCTTAATGTCCCTACTATGGCCCCAATTTGCTACTACAGCCATTATCCCCCAATACAGCCACTGCAGTCCTTTTTCCTGCTACTATAACCCATTATCCCCACACTATAATCCCAAACCCACCAATCACAGCACCTTTCTACACCTCAACATACACACAACAGCCCCTATCATCCCCCAAATTACCATTAAAGACCCTAACCCCTGCACATATACACTATAGCACTTACCCTCCCCCTTACACATACACTACAGCCCCAATGTCTTAACATATACTCTATGTGGCCTCCGTGTACTTATACGCACACATTTAAATTGCGTCAGAATAACTTTATGATCCCAAGGGTCTTTGAGGAACTTTAACAGTGATGTCCAGTGTGAATCCTGGAAGTAAGACAGCAATGTTGCCTCACTGTAACTGAGCTGTAAATGAAATGGTGAGATTTGCGGTAATTCCTATTGATATGACCTGTCACTCAGGGCCGCCATCCGGGGGTGACAACCATGACAGTTGTCATGGGCCCGGCGGTCAGGGGGGGCCAGACTGCTTTGGCAGTCCTGGGCCCCACATTGCCTCTCTGCACATATATATAGCGATAATGGCTACATAAATGTGCAGCCGCGGGCCCCCGGCTCCCTGTATTTGCAGAGGGGGCCCAGCAGACTGCAGCAGTACATTACAGCTCTTCCCTCTCTCTAACTCCCGCAAGACGTGCGGCCGTCAGAGCATTGCCACGGGTTACCGCGGCACGCTCGCGGGGAGTTAATGAGAGGGAAATGCTGTAATGTACAGCTGCACTCTGCTGGGCCCCCTCTGCAAATACAGGGAGCCGGGGGGCCCCACAATGCCACTGGACCACCAGGGATGGATTCTCCCCCCCCCCTCCCTGAACCAGGGAGGGGGGAATAACATTTATTATAATTAGTGTGTGGGGGGGAATGCTCCATTTACACAACATGCATACACTAGTAAACACACACTCTGCATTCATTACACTAACACACACTCTGCATTCATTACACTAACACACACTCTGCATTCACTACACTGACGCACACTCTGCATTCACTACACTGACGCACACTCTGCATTCACTACACTGACGCACACTCTGCATTCACTACACTGACGCACACTCTGCATTCACTATACACACAGCACCCACTACACAAACATCCTGTATTCACAGTACACACTACATTCACTAAACTGACACACAATCTGCATTCACTACACTAACACACACTCAGCATTCACTATACACACAGCACCCACTACACAAACATCCTGTATTCACAGTACACACACTACATCCACCACACATTCAAACACTCTGCATTCACTATACAGAAACACTGCGTCTAATAGACCTTCTGCTTTGTCAGGGGCCCCAAAATTTCTGGTGGCAGCCCTGCTGTCACTACATCAACAAAACTCAGAAACACACATTAAATAGGCATTCACATGGAAATTACTCAAAAGAAGCAAATTGTTACTTGCAAGAAATGTCAGTATTCCATACTTCATTCTAACCAACACCTAAATTTATACACCATCTTTTTGAACTAAATATTTTTCCGCCTTGGAGAAAACATCGCACTTCCTTTGATAAATTTTATATCTACCATTTTAACACAATGGACACAGGATTCACGTTATTTAGCCTAACATTGTTTAAAATGCCGTTTGTCTTTGAAGTGCCTCACTCAAGAATACAGGTGAGTCACAGACATTGTATAAGAACTAACAATTAGCACTTTGATATGTAATTTCCAAAGCAACATGAGGCAACAGATCAAGAGACCAAACAGTAAGTGTCCACATAAGTAACAAAAATAAAGAGAATATTTAATAGCTCAAGGCAATGATCTGAAATATAATAACTGCACAAGTAATACAGTGACACACAGCATTGGCAAAGATAGATATTATTAGCAACATTGCTAGCATTTCTGTGCCCACCTTAAATTTAGCTTCCACCCTACGGACTAGGGTTGAGGCACAGGGTAGGAAGAGGCCTTTTTCAGCTGCTCAGTCGATAATTTTTTTTAACCACAGAAAAGCTAGGATAGCATGCAGCTGCACACTGTTTAGTAGATATGTCCCCATCAACAGCATTGTCCCCCCTCTACCACAAAAAATCAAATAAAAGCTAATCTTTAGTCCCATCTTCCTTTGCTGGGGTCACTCCCTTCTTGTCGGGGAGGTTGAAAGGGGGGTAGAATGAATGTCAGGGAGGACGAGCTGATTGGTGGACAGGGGAAGTTGTGATGAAGTGTGTGCTGGCGTCAGACGTCAAATTTGCAGAGAAATCACATTAGGCAGCCCAGAGAACTCTTGTTCTGAGTTGGCTAATGACACCCCAATGACATAGCTGGACGTTGAGTTACACCTCTGGCAGCAGAGGGAATAAACGCCATATGTGCAATGTTTCATAGAAAAATACAAACTCCAGGCACCAAGACCACTTTAAATGACCCAGGACATCCTTGAAAATGAGAGAAATCTCAATGTATCTTTCCTGGTAAAATATTTTATAAATAAATAAATAAGTGGACATGGTTCTCGGAGTAACCCTATAATTCTGAATCTCACTGCACTATTTAGTGAATAACTTGTGCCATCTCACATGATTTTTAACATGTGACACACAACATGTAAACCTTCTTCCTAATCACCCAACAAAGAGTCTTTAACATGGAGGATTGCGGGCAAATGACTGCCCAACTGTATGTTTAAATGCAACCAAGTCCCACATGCAGCGAATATTAACGCATACACAAGCACTTGTATAATGCTACTCAGTGTGTAGGCAGTCTGTCATCAAGGTGTGCTAGGATGTCCCACTTCTTTAACCTCTTAAGGACCAAACTTCTGGAATAAAAGGGAATCCTGACATGTCACACATGTCATGTGTCCTTAAGGGGTTAAAGGTCAAATGGCCAATTTCCTTCTGAAATGCATTCACAAAGATTGTTATCGATGATTAAAGTACGCTGCGAGCAGCATTTCATTTTCCTACATCAATGTAGTCAAATTGACACCCAAGATGCTTAATATTATTATTTAGAAAGTACCAACATATTCTGCAGCATTGTACAAATGCGGTCTGACAAACAGGTATTTGCAACAAGACAAGTTGGTCATAGAAGAACAGAAGGTGGTGAGGGCCCTGGTCAAACCAGCTGCCAGCCTAAAGACTGTCCTAAATTTCACATTACACTCAGCCAGCCCTAGTTCAGACACATTTGAGGTGCCATGGTCACCCTCCTCGTACTTAGTGGACTAGATTGGGGTATCACAGAAAGTTGGGAGGCTATACTCCCCAGTTTAGCTATTGGAGCAGTAAGCAGCAATCCCTAGGTCAGCCTATGTTCTGCCATTGCAGAGCTCCCATGGAACGTTCAGATACATTGTATCACGGATTGTATCACACTGAGTACTGGCTAGCAGCCCTTCATACTGCTGTGTTCTACCCACTTACGGCCGAATTCCACACCGCACGCCAGAGCTGTCAATGTGCCCCTCTGAGTGCTCCTACGGCAGTCACAGGGTTAATCGTGCAAGCTCCTGTTACTACTTCCTAGATTGCTCCCAAGTCCGTGACGTCACTCCCTCCCTGGGCCATGTGACTGTAATGATCACATGGTGCAAAGCCCTGTTGGAGAGTGTAGTTGGAGCTGGGGAGTGTAGTTGGAGCTGGAGATTTTGCAAAGAGTGAGACAACTGTTTCTCTGTACATTGATTCATATTCATTATAATTAATACACATATTAACTTCCAGCACAGTGGGGTTCTGGTATTTGGCAGTGAAGCAAACAATTATTTTATGTCCCAAATTCACATTTGCAGCACACTAGTAGATTGAGCTAGAGATCTGAATGAAAAACATTGCCATGCATTGATTGCATTCATGGTGTATAGCAGATCTGCCTCATGTCAGTTTGCTTTACTATAAAATAGTTCTATAAAATTTAGAATGTAAGCTGCTTTGGGAAAGGCCTTTTTCACCTACTGTCCATTTAAATCAAACTTGTTTTGTTAGAACTGTTTGTCTTGTTTACCTATTGTGCAGTGGTGAGGAATATAGCTATATAATTAAAGGGACACTATAGGCACCCAGATTACTTCATCTCAGTGTCACAGGTCCCGTAACCCTACAAAGGTAATTATTGCTGTTTTTAATAAACTGCAATAATTACCTTTGAGGGTTAACGCCATCTCTAGTGGCTGTCTACCAGACAGCCACTAGAGGGACTTCCAGGTCGTGTCAGTATGGAGTAGGCAGTATGCATAAATGCTTCCTGTAACACTGACTAGGGCAGCTCCTTGCGGATCATTTAAAATGATAATCATTCATTGATTAAATACTTTCCTACGGGCAGGCGTAATGCACACACGGTGCATACACATTGGATTCTTGGATCATGCTAATCTCCGCACTGGATGAGTCTGATACAGCTCCGAGGGACATCAGCACTTGAATCAGGTAAATATTTTAAGGGTTTTTTAACCCTTTACATGGCTGGGGAGAGGGACACTATAATATTAGGAATACAGCTTTGTATTTATAACACTACAGAGTTCATTTAATTGTACAAAATATTTATTGTACAATATTTATTGTATTGTTCTTATTTTGGAAATGTTGCCCAAAATAGCTCTTTTGGAAACATTCTCCAAGTCAATTATGCTTCCAGTTCAATTATTTTGGTCTAAATTTTTTAATCTACTATCAATTCCCAGCAATTCTCACTATATAGAGGTCTCATACGTGTTTAGATGTTTGATCTCAGCCAATCCATTGCTTCTCCTTACCTGTGCATGCTGTGCTGCACCAATCAGAATCTTTTTTTTTTGCTCAATGATTTCTTTGAACAATGTTTGTTGAAGTTTCAGACGCCAAAAGTGACCCTGCAACAAGAAATAGTGCACTAAATTTGTCCCTAGGGACAAATGTAAATGCCTATCTTTTCGCAGAAAAGGCAGTGTTTAAAGTTCAGAGACCTCAGGGACAGTTTCTTTGCACCAGAACCACTGCAGTAAGCTGTAGTGATTTTGGCGCTAGAATGTCCATTTAATTTAACCATGGCCATAAGAGCACTTGTGTGGTGAAAGCCCGACAGATGAGTACTTTATTACGCTCTTATCCTTTACAAGTCACCATCTCTCTGAATGGCTCCATTTCATCTTTTTGTATAGGAACCAGCTCTATGTCTGCACACTTGCACAGTTGTGTCTATAACTAAATCCATAAATGGAGCATTCAGCAAGCCCTTAGGAGCTGCACCTTGGAGGGGAGTTTCATTCAATTTTTCTGAAGACTGAAACTGTTGCAGAGTCTTGAACTGAATGGCCAATAGTCACATAGACCTCTGCTGAGTCTGACTAGAATGTATATCAAATAGTGCTCAGAACTCTTATTAAAATGTCTGGATTGTAATTGCTTGGAGTGTGACAGATGTCAGACACTTAATATAGTTGAGTTCACTGCAAGAACTGTAATTCCCAGGGAGGCATTATTTAATAAACGTGGAGGTTCTCGGGAACACCTATTAATCTGAGGTGATGTGAAATTTTGAAGTGACTAATCCTCTACCTTCTGGCACTAATAGTGCCCAGCCACCAGTACTAGTCGCCCAGGCACCGTTAGTGACCATAAAAATGGAGAACTGATAATGCCCAATTCTACTTGGTGGTAAATTGCCACTAAATACAAAATGAAGTACCTACCTGATTAATGTGAGGGCTTTAAGACATTTTTTTTTATTATTATAAATTCTTTATTTTTGTGCGCATATGTTTAACAGACAATCTTACAATGCACCAACAGCATTGGCAAGACAGTTAATTGGACAAGGCATAGTAGTTACAAGGCATTTGAGTATACTGCACAATTTTTCAAAGTAATGTAGAGTACATGCTAAGCAGAACATGTCTAGATTAACTAATGAGAGAGAGAGAGATATTAAGCTATACATAGTCATAGGCATGTTGATAGAGGTATTAAAGTAATTACATGAATAAAATAGGCTAAAAAAGTATGTCTGATGTGCTGGGTCACGGTGAGTTTGTCAACTTGAGACATGAAACATGTAGTGAGTCTTAAGTGTGTAAGAGTAAACAGTGTTAAAGAACAGATTTGATTAGAAAGTACCAGCTAAAACAGGTTATAGATTTATATGTAGAATAAACATAACTTAATGCAGGTGGGCTGAACGTTTTGTTGAAACACCCCTGTGGGTCACTATGGAGGAGATTGAAGATAATGTGATCATTGATTAAAGTCCCTGTGCTAGGCATGATAGTCCCCTGTATGGTTTTATATGTATGGGGCCCCATGTGTGGCAGTTCGCTCAGCCAATGCCTTGTCGCCAGGCAGGCACCGATGGTCCATCTGGCTGGGCAGAGGGTGTTTTCTTCGGGGCAATTGGAAGTAGCCGATGAGAGCCCCAGTTGTGGGTCATCGCCCGGTGGTAGGTGAGCCGTGGGGCATATCCCTGTTCAGACTGGAGTTCGGAGCGCAAGGGTGATTGGCCCTATCTAGCAAACCTCACGGACCTCCTCTGAGAGCCTATGCGCTGAGCAGGTCAGGGTTTTCCCTTCCCGCCCTTCCGCTGCTTGGAGGTGTTCCCATGTTTGCCGGAGTGGTTTCCCATGGGCCAGGCAGGCTTTTCATGGTGGTGGTGTCCCAGAAGGCTTTGCAGATGCTGTCGAATGCTGCTAGAAAGTCTTGTCAAGGTCTCTCATAACTCGTGGTGTGGTGCTCTGCCGCCATCTCAGAAATCACGGGTAGGCCTCCAGAAGAAGCAGGGAGCTTACAGGTCAGTCCCAGATGCTAAGGTGCCAGGATATCCCTCACCGGCAGGGGGGGAACGGCGATGTCCAACGCAGTGTCTGCTGAGGAGTCAGCCACCTCTCTCATCCGCATACTGCCAGGCCTCTGCTAGGCCTCATGGTTGCCCCGGTGACTCGTGAGCAAGCAGTAACGTTGGTTCAAAGCATAGATTAGAAGCTCCAGGTTATTGGTTAGTCTGCAGGGTTGTACAGTGTTAATTTAGTGTTGCATAGATCTTCTGGAATGTTCAATTTCGCTTGAAAGGTCCAGGAGCTGAGACGATGTGCGACCGCTCACCATGCTGCTCAGGCCACCAAGACAATAATTTTGTTTTAATAGGGAGGAGGGTGACAGTAGGTGGAATTATGTGATGAGGGAGAGCTTTCAAATAAATAGTGTTTCAAAATACTGTATTTGTTGAATTCATCTTGCAGATTGCTGTCTCTAATTAGGAAAAACACTCTTGGAACTATTCCCTGCATTTCAGTGATGGCAGTGATACTCGTATGTCACTCTGATTCCTTTCCTATTGTGTTTTTGTAACACACATTTTCCAGACTGTAACCTCATTGAGCAGGGTCCTCATCATCCTATTTTTACTGCAATATTTTGTAATTGTCTCACTTAGTGTTAAATATCCCCCTTAAAAATATTGTAAAGTGCTGCGGAATATGTTGGCGCTATATAAACAATAATAATAATAATAATAATAATAATGCAGAAATAAGATTTCCACGTTATCAGTATTAAATCTGTCCATTCAGAAATTAACTGGGAGCACTCCCAGCACTCTCAGCCTTTCACTGCCATCCATATTGGAAGAAACTGATAAAGATAATGCGGATGTGTCAACTACACATTATCAATGCGATCAGAAATGGGTAGACTGTGTGTGCCAGAGATGTAGTAGATATGGTGTATACAGTGCTATATTAATATTTAATCTGATACCATATAAACAATGCAGTTTTTTCTTTGTGTTATAACAAATACTTTCATATATTTTAGATTTTTACATTTTTGTCTCTTGATTTTCATTATCATTATTGCAGTTTCAAATAGAAAGAAAGAGGGGATGTCTGTTTACCCACAAAGCTGGAGGGCTTTAGAGGTCTGAAGTGTTCCTTTAAGAAAATATTTATAGAAGAAACACAAATTACAACTCTTTTCATTACCTCAGACACCGTACAGCTGTATAGCCCTCTATGTCCACAATTTTTATGGTAAACTCCATACATTTTTGTCCAATCCAAAAACTTGTCCAAACAAAAATAAACATGGAAGCATATGATGAGTTTAAACATTTAGTGAAAAAGTGCCAAAAAATTTAGGTGCAAAATGTCAAAGTAAACTTATATGGCTGAGGGTGTAATGAACTGGATGCTGAATGCATTTCGAACTACTGTGCTTTTAAAGTTGGCATATATAAATCCCAATAATAATAATGTTTCAATAGCTCAGTAATAGCATACATATACCTGCATATTTTCCGTAACCATCATGAAATGACACCTATAGGATAATTTCAAAATACTAACCCTTACCTATAAAGCTCTAAACAACTCTAGCCCCTCTTACATTTCTTCCCTGATTCGCAGATATGCCCCTTTAGGTGTCTCCTCTCTGCCAGTGACCTTCTCCTGTCCGCTGCTTGCACCGTTACTACTAACACATGCTTTCAGAACATTTCCTGGGTGGCTTCTTTTCCTTTGGAACTGCCTGCCCACCCCTATCATACTCGCCCCTATTCTTCAATCATTTAAAATGTATATCAAAATCCATCACTTCAGAAATGCTTATAGCCTCCCAGAGTAACTCTGTCACAAATCTGTCTCTTGCTCTCTCCTAAAGGGCCACATTCCATCCTTCCTCCAGTTCGGTTACTTTCCCACCTTGTTTGGTTGCTGCCCTGTTGTGTATTTGTACCCCATCTCCTCTAGACTGTAAGTTCGTTTAAGCAGGGTCCTCATCTACCTATTGTCACTGTGTAATTGTCTCATTTATTGTTAAATTTCCCCCTTTCATAATATTGTAAAGCGCTCCGTAATTAGTTGGCGATATACAAATACCAATAATAATAATAATAACCAAAATTGGTACAAATACCAATAATAATAACCACTACAGCCCAAGCTGTGTCCCCGTCCCTTGCTGTTCATTTTGCTAATGTGGAAGTGACGCGTCCACATTAGTAATATACAGTATTGATATCAATTTTTGTCTCAGCTGATGCGCTGATTCAAATACTGTACAAATAGGGCAAGAATAGATTTAACATAGAAGTAAAACTCCTGTTGGCGATATGGACAGCAAGTAGCTTTGTCATAGGTGCTAAGTGGACCCTCAATTTGTGCAAAACTGCTTTAACCCCTTAAGGACCAAACTTCTGGAATAAAAGGAAATCATGTCATGTCATACATGTCATGTGTCCTTAAGGGGTTAAAACGGTTTGATAAAGAATTGGGAAAAAGTGCTAGACATGTTGGCACCATGACCACTACAGAGAGCTATAGTGTGAGTGTACTTATTTTTTTTATTAATAGTCAGTCCTTTTTAAGGCTGACTGAGCATCAAATGTGTGCACTGAAGTCTGTATTGCCAATATTAGCCAGCAAAGCCACATCTTATTGCTTATCATGACATTATAACTGCTGTGGACTGCACAGCTTTCCATACAGCACATTTAGCATCACGGGAAATGTAGTCTAGCAACCTCCATACTCGGCTATAACCTAAGCATACCGAAGTCCAAACTGCGTACTACAATTCCCGTGATGCAAGCAGAGCGTCTGGCTGCCCCCGCTGGGGTCCTTTTTTAGTTGACCTCATTGCTGCCAGAAACGATGAAGAATACTCGGCCCATTACTCCTGCAGTAAAAAGTCGGCTAGATGACGAGGTTTAATAATGTCTCTTTCAGTCGGTTTTGAATGGCCGTTACGCTCAGGCAGTGACGCCGACAGCCTCTCAGTCTTCTTTTAGGAGGAGGCGGGGCTTTCTCTCTCTCTTTCCGCCGGACCCGCCATCTTGCAGGTAGCCACATGAGAGCTCGAGCTCCGCCGAATTCACTAAATATCGGGGAAGTGGGTTTCCCCTCCGGATACAAACCGCGGGGGTGAGAGGGCAGACTGCCCGCAGTCACCGGGGAGGGAAATCTGGGGATTATGGGTAATGGGAGAGGTCATGGCTGGGCTCACTGACCGAGACTGGGAGGCCTCAGCTATCAGTATGGATTCTATCACTAGTGATATCTAAACACAGTCACTGAGACTGGCCTTCACAGACTGAGACTGCCCCCGGCCTCCACAGACTGAGACTGCCTGACCCCAGCCTACAGCATGGACCCCATTAATAGTGATATCTAAATACAGACACTGAGACTGCCCGGCCTTCACAGACTGAGACTGGCCCCAGCTTATAGCATGGATTCTATCACTAGTGATATCTAAATACAGACTGAGACTGACCCCAGCCTACAGCATGGATCCCAGTAATAATAATATCTAAATACAGACACTGAGACTGGCCCCAGCCTTCAGTATGGATCCCACTAATTATACAGCCTCTCACTGAGCCCCAGCTATCAGTATGGATCCTACTAACTACCCTGCCTCTCACTGAGCCCCAGCTATCAGTATGGATCCTACTAACTACCCTGCCTCTCACTGAGCCCCAGCCATCAGTATGGATCCTACTAACTACCCTGCCTCTCACTGAGCCCCAGCTATCAGTATGGATCCTACTAACTACCCTGCCTCACACTGAGCCCCAGCCATCAGTATGGATCCTACTAACTACCCTGCCTCTCACTGAGCCCCAGCTATCAGTATGGATCCTACTAACTACCCTGCCTCTCAATGAGCCCCAGCTATCAGTATGGATCCTATTAATAGTGATATCCAGCTGCATTCACTATGACTGGCCTTCACAGACTGAGACTAGCTCAAGCCATCAGTATGGATCCTACTAACTACCCTGCCTCTCACTGAGCACCAGCTATCAGTATAGATCCTATTAATAGTGATATCCAGCTACATTCACTATGACTGGCCTTCACAGACTGAGACTGGCTCAAGCCATCAGTATGGATCCTACTAACTACCCTGCCTCTCACTGAGCCCCAGCTATCAGTATGGATCCTATTAATAGTGATATCCAGCTACAGTCCCTGTTACTGGCCTTCACAGACCGAGACTGCCTGAATTTAGCCTTCAGTATGGATTCCATTAATAGTGATATCCAGCTACAGTCACTGTTACTGGCCTTCACAGACTGAGACTGCCTGGCATTCGCCTTCAGCATGGATCCTACTAATTATACAGCCACTCACTGAGCACCAGCCATCAGTATGGATCCTAATAATAGTGATATCCAGCTACAATCACTCTCTGAGCCCAAGTTATCTGTATTGTCCTTACTAATGACAAGCTGCAGTCACTGTGACTGGTTTTCACAGACTGACGCTGGTCCCAGCCTTTAGTATGAATTCTACTAATTAGGGATCGACCAATATTGATTTTTTAGAGCCGATACCGATAATCTGCGAACTTTCAGGCCGATAGCCGATATCTTGCCGATATTCTGTACATTTACTATTTTGAATAAATAAACTAATTCGAAAGGTAAATGCACAAAATATACATGCCACATGTAGTGGATGAAGTGTTTTTAGACAGGGGAACTGTGTGTGTAGTGGATGCAGAGTGTGTGTGTAGTGTGTGTGTATAATGAATGTAGTGTGTATATAATGCAGTGTGTGTAGTGTTTATATAATGCAGTGTGTTTATGTATTGTGTGTGTATAATGCAGTGTGTTTTTGTGTGTGTATGTAATGCAGTGTGTATGTAATGCAGTGTGTGTGTGTGCAGTGTGTGTCTGTAATGCAGTATGTGTGCAGTTTGTTTGTGTAGTGTGTTTGTATGTAATGCAGTGTGTGTGTGTCTGTGTAGTGTGTGTATGTAATGCAGTGTGTGTGTCTTTGTAGTGTGTATGTAATGCAGTGTGTGTCTGTGTAGTGTGTATGTAGTGATGTAATTTGTGTAATTTTTTATTAATATTTTTTTAATATTTAAATGTTTTTTTGTTTAGTCCCCCCCCAGTGTGTGTTTGTGTAGAGTGTGTTTGTGTCTGTGTAGTGTGTATGTAATGCAGTGTGTGTTTGTGTAGTGTGTGTTTGGGTGTGTGTAGTGATGTAATTTGTGTAATTTTTTATTTTAATATTTAAAAATGTTTTTATTTTTTGTTTAGTCCCCCCTCCCTGCTTCTTACCAGGGAGGGGGATATAGTATCCCCTGGTGGTCCAGTGGCTTGTTAAGTACAGTGGTGGCTCAGCAGCAGCAAGCGCTGACTTACCTTGCAAGCAGCTCCTACAGCTCCCTGTGTAAATCTCGCGGCTCTTAGTGCCGCGCGGAGCGTTGCCATGGTAACCCGTGGCAACGCTCTGCGGCCGCGGGTCTCGCGAGATTTACACAGGGAGCTGCATGCAAGGTAAGTCAGCGTTTGCTGCTGGCCCCCACAGGACCGCCGGGCTTGTAATGGGCCCGGCGCTCCTGTTATATATTATCGGCAATATCAGTATCTGAATTGGCCGATACCGATATTGCCGAAAATACCAAATATCGGCCAGACCGATAATCGGTCGATCCCTACTACTAATAGTGACATGCAGCTTTATTAAATCACGGTTCCCCAGCCATCAGTATGGACCCTGCCAGTACTGTGATCCAGCTACTGTCACTGGGTCTGCCCTTCACAGATTGAGACTGCCCGGCTCCAGTGATCAGTATAGATTCTACTAAAATCTCTGCGTTATTTTCTCTGTGAGCCTCCGTTATCAGTATGGATTCACCTATTAATAAAATCCAGATGGCAAGGCATAGTAAACTATTTCCAAGTATGAACACAGCAGGTGTTTCTTTACAGATGGCTTTACATGAATGTGATGTTGTAGAAATATAAACTGTTGTAGTTTATTGGTAAATGTTTGTTTAGTAATCTAACTTTACACAAAGATTGACGCGTACAGTTTTGCTTTAGAGCATGTGCTAATTTTTCTGTTGTGTTGCACTCATCCTTTTTAAAACAAGGAATTTAACACCTGGATTAGCATTTTGAAAACTTCCATAAGTTCCATTGGAATACTAACAAGAACTTATTTTTCAAATATATTGTAATTCCTTATTTTCCAAGCCCCAGAGTTCTGTTTTTTGTGACTGGTATCCTATTTAGTGTTCTGTCATGTACAATTAATGTGGCCAGTGTCCTCAAGTTAGTTTGCAGCATATATTTCTGTAGTGTTGACTTCCCAAAACGTTTCTGTATTTTAAGTGAAGATTAATAATGTAACTTTTTTTATTTCCATGTCTCTTTCTACTCAATAGTAAATCGCAAAAATGACGAACACAAGAGGAAAAAGGCGTGGAACCCGTTATATGTTCGCCAGACCCTTCCGTAAACATGGTAAGAGTGCTGTATTTTTATTTGTAGAAGTGTGTGTATAAATTTTTTTTTGCACTTTAGAGAAAATATGATTGTAAATGTCAAGGCTAGAGGACTTATGGAGTATATTTTCTCTCAATTTAATGTAACAGCTGCTACATGTTGTCTGCCGTTTGTCTGCCTACAAAGCAGCACATTCAGAACATAATTCTAGCGCTACCAATGAAGTTAAATACAGTAATAGGAAAGTTTTGATGCAAGCAAAATGTCCTTGGGAGTCAGTGAATTGGATCACGATTTGCTTCACCGTCCCTTGCTAGAGAAAAACTCTGCCATCCACAAATCCTTTTGATAGCAGATTTGTGGGGTGATATTCCCTGTGCTGGCAAAATAACGTAACATTCATCTTTCTCCCACTATGGAGTCCTGAACTGAATAAAGTGAATGCTCTACTATTTTAACTTGGAAAAAAACTTAAATACCTAATGGAAGTTCTGCTTTGAGATTTGGTGTGGTGGGTGGTTAGGTCGACAAAAACATGCTATCCATTTCTCTCTAATATTTGCGTTATAATTGCTACTACCATAATGCTCTATGATGATCTTTCTCCTTACTATTTACGTAAGTAAATGTGAGTCAATTATTTCACCGGTTCTGAGAGCATTAATAGTTCTTTTTGGGGATGTTTGTAAATGCTTAAGATTATATAGTTTTAAACTTGGATTTAGAAAATTGGGCAGACTAGATTGGCCGAATGGTTATCTGCCGTCACATTCTATGTTTCTATGGGCCACTCCTTTAAAACATACACAATTACTGCAGCCCACGTTTCATTCTTTGAGAGCATTATGCTTGGCTTGTTCTTTGTCCAATCACATGCTTTCAGTAGAGAAATATTGCTGACATGACAGAGCTTCCAGTGTACCCATGCATTACTTGGAAGTGGCTAAGGTATTTGGTACTTTCAGCCATATGTAGCCTTTGAATAAATGCAGATGGCAGTGTTTAAGCCAACTTTAATAAAGTCAAAGTTAAAAGAACCTGCCAGCCCCACAAAACTACTTCATTTCAGTGATGAGGGGTCTGAAGGTGCTTTGAACTATATTACATAGAATGGCACGTGTGCACGAAACTGGTGCAAGCGTGAATGCAAATGCAGCACTTTCATTCATACTGCCTACGTAATTGTGAGGCTAGTGATGTCCTTTTATACTCTATAGTAGCTATTTCGGAGGCGGCAGCCCAGTTTCTTTTAAGTATGCTTATGCACTGGCTGAGAATTTTGCTAGTCTGATGTGCTAATGCAGGCATAGGCAACCTTTTGGCACTCCAGATGTTTTGGACTACACCTCCCATGATTCTTGTCCAGCATTAGGGGGGTGTAGTTCAAAACATCTGGAGTGCCAAAGGTTACCTATCCCTGTACTAATGTATAGGTTACATTTGAAGGTTACTACATGTAGCTGGCCATACCATTAATGCTTTCTGAATAACATGTCCAATGTTGAGATTTCTTCCGCTTATATGTACTTCACTATTGTCATACATTGGCTTTTGTAGTAACTCTTGCTTTGAAAATGATATGAATACATTGAGTACTGTAATCTATGCAACTAGAAATAAAAGCTTGCGTTCTGCTCCCTCATGTACCCATTAATAGGCTTCTTTTTGTGGAAATTCAAACCTAAAAGTTGTCTGTTCTGTATTTTGAGTTTGAATGTCTTTTTATTTGTAGGTGTTGTTCCACTTTCAACATATATGCGCATCTACAAGAAGGGTGATATTGTGGACATAAAGGTAATTCATGCTTTACACTTTGTGGCCTTCTTGCCTTTTATTACTTCAACCATTTTAACTATGAAAAACTTGTCGGGCAAAAATCCCAACTGTTTGGTCAGGACAAACCCCTGTGTAAAGTGCACACTGTAGGGCAGTACTGCTTTGACGTTTGGTCTGGTGGCTGACTAGGTAGACAAAAACATGCTATCCATTTCTCTCTAATTGGGTCATAATTGCTACTACCATAATGCTCTGTGATGATATTTCTCCTTACTATTTACGTAAGTAAATGTGAGTCAATTATTTCACCGGTTCTGAGAGCATTTATAGTTCATTTTGGGGACATTTGCAAATAATTTAAATATATCTTTTAACTGGGCCTATTTAAAAAAAAAAAAAAAAAAATGCTTCTGGTAGAGAAATTGGTGTGCATGAGCGTCACTTGCTATCTCCCAAATCAGAGCTTCTCTTCAGAAGAATTGTATGCACGCCCGGTGTTTAGCAGCAGCATACTTTGATAGTAGATGGAAAAAATTGATGGTTACTGATTCAGTCTGAACCCCTATGTGGCTGGCTTGCTGACAACACTCGAGGCGTGAGAGTTGTAATATATACAGTGCTGTTTTTATAGAACTGGCACAGTTTTAATCTGTATGTTTGTAGGGGCAAAATCTCTTAATATAGTTATACTGTCCCTTTAACTATGGGGGCATTTTCACTTTTAAAAATACAATTTCAAATTGTGTGTGGGTGGTATTTAATGTTTCAGGTTTTCATAAAACTTTCTTTTTCAGGGAATGGGCACAATTCAAAAAGGTATGCCCCACAAATGTTACCATGGCAAGACTGGCAGGATTTACAATGTCACTCAACATGCTGTTGGAATTATAGTGAACAAGAAACTCAGGTAAGTGTTACTCTTGGCAATGTCCATGCCCTTTCACTTTACCATGTAGATTGGTACATGTCTATATTGGTCATTCAGAAGGGCTACAACAAACATCTTCTTAAAACCCAAGCAAATCATTTATTTGACTTGAGTCCTGTCAGAGGAGACAATTTTCTGATATTTTTTTTTTTTTTTTGTAATAACTGTGGTAGCTGGTAACTTCAAAAGGGCCAAAATTGTTGAAATAATGTATATATGTAAACTTAAGGTTGTGCCACATTTTAAAGGTGGTTTTCTACTGGTTTAGTTGCACCTTTTTATAACTAAAGCAGTACGATTACAACGTCTACATTCAACACCTTATCTCTAAAGAACTCTAGTCACATTTTATACACTTTGTTAAAAGGTCACCCATGAAAATATTATGATTGGATAAAGAGGTAGTTAAATGTATCACACTGTGGCAGAGCAGGGCAGTCTTTGTGTGCTACAATAAGTTTAGTGGTAATTATATTTTTTTGTTCCATGTTGTGTAGGTGAAACCTCCTGTCTAACTTTGTGCCTTTATTAAATATTAGACCAATTGGTACTTTCTTAGAATGTCAGAAAGTTAAAGGGAAAAACAAAACGCCTTAAAACATTATTTACTGGTGGATATTGGTTTGAATCTTATCACTGCACTACTTTAATATGGAGGAGGCTGTTAAAAGTAGGCTATAGCTAAAAGTAATGTTCTTGTAATTGCAAGTAAAGGGATGCCAGGCTGAAGTGTTTTGTAATATTTTAATAGTAATACAGCTGTGATGACTGTATGCAAGGGTTAAGGCCATTCTGTTAATTCAGTCAAAATGTGTCCTGAAGGAACAGATCCTACAAGCCTCAAAGGTAGGACAACTGTCACCTCAACACAATTTTGTTCAGTTTTTTTACAATACAATCATTTCGTGTATTCAGTATTTGAATGGAAATGGATTATTTGCTAAATGAAGTATATGTAAAAAGAAACTCTGCCCTACCTTTAGTATGAAAAGATTTTTTTTTTTTTCCCAGTTCAGTTAATTTTTATTTTTTTTGTGTATTCCTCATTCCTGGGTCCTCTACCAGAGGCCTAGCAGTCTGAGTGTTCTGCGCAGTGTCTTAGCTGTTCCTAGAACTACATTTTTCTAGACAGCGATCTCAGATGTTACACCAGTAATCTGTTGAAGCCACTATCCCAACTTGGGGGTCACAATCCTGAGAGCTCCTATCACAACTGGGACTACAACTGCCTTTAATTTCCACATCCTTTCTAGATCATCTTTCAGTCTTTGATAGGTCTTCCTTCTACCTGATGTTATAATTACTTTGTATTGCTACATCCACCACCACTGCAGTCTTCTTTCTTGTTTACCCCACCCCTCTCCCCAACAATGTCAGGTTGGTTGGCCAGTATGTGCTTGTCTGTCTGGATCTGAAAGTCCCACAGGATTTTAGCCCTGTCATTCTCAACTACCCTTTGTGGTATCACCCATCTGGACTTGGGTGGTTTCAGCCCATGTTCTCTGCAGGTATATCTGTACACAATCCCAGCAACTTGGTTATGCCTCTCTGTGTATGCTATCCCTGCTAACCTTTTGCACTGGACTATGTGCTGGATTGTGTCAGGCCTCTTTGCACAGTCTGCACATTGGGTCTTGTCTGGCGTGCTAGACCCCCACTTTTTTGATCTGGTGCAGAGTGCCTGTTCCTGTACTAGTAGGACTAGGGCCTCCATGCTGTCTTTCAATCCAGCCTTTTCCAACCACTGGTAGGATTTTTTTAGCCACATCCACTAGGTCAGTGGTACACCCCATGAAGAGGTTTGTTTTTTCCATGGAACCTCCTTTTCTTCATCCTCTCTGTTGAAGTCTCAGGCATTCTGTTAGCAGTTCAGCTTGGAGGGAGAATTTCATGATATACTTGTGGATGCTCTGTGTTTCATCCAGGACTGTGGCTTTTACACTTGAGGTCCAACCTTCTTCCTTCCGGCTGGTGTACAGTCTCTGGGTGCTGGATTTCGAATGGAATCCTCCATTCATAGTGACTAGTTTCTGGGTTTTGACATCCATGGTGACCAGCTCTTCTCTTGGCCATGTTATTCCTGCTGGGCACCTGGTGGCTCTTGGGGATGTTGCTATCCTCGCCTCTTCTTCATGGTTGCCATGTGGTTTGTGGTATCCCTGGGTACTTGTTGCTGTTCTCTAAATCTCCTATTTGACCTTCTGGAAAGGGGAAAGCGGTTTAAACTTACCTTTTTCAGCGCTGGGCGGAGAGCTCTCCTCCTCCGATCCTCTTCTCCCCGTCGGCTGAATGCGCACGCGCGGCAAGAGCTGCGCGCGCATTCAGCCGGTCACATAAGAAAGCATTCATAATGCTTTCCTATGGACGCTGGCGTGCTCTCACTGTGAAAATCACAGAAGCACGCAAGCGCCTCTAGTGGCTGTCAATGAGACAGCCACTAGAGGAAATAGGGGAAGGCTTAACCCATTCATAAACATAGCAGTTTCTCTGAAACTGCTATGTTTATGAAAAAATGGGTTAACCCTAGCTGGACCTGGCACCCAGACCACTTCATTAAGCTGAAGTGGTCCTTTTTAAGGGTGCCTCCCCTGATGGTAGTGGGTGACTGTACAGACCTCACTTTCACTGGTGTTTTAATCCAAGAACTGAGAGAAGTCAGGGATCCAGTATAAAAGTATTTATTTTGCAAAAACAAATATAAAAATTAAAATGTGAACAAAAAGTATGTCTTGAGTCCCTAATTTTTTTTTTCTTCCTTTGGACTGGTTTTATCTTTCAAATGTGCTTTATGATCTTGTAAAATCTAAATGTTTGTATTTTTCAGAGGTAAGATTCTTGCCAAAAGAATAAATGTGCGTGTTGAACATATTCGCCACTCTAAGAGCAGAGACAGCTTCCTGCAGCGTGTCAAGGAGAACGAGAAGAAGAAAAAGGAGGCAAAGGAGAAGGGAACTTGGATTGAGCTTAAACGTCAGGTGAGTCCTTTAACAAGTTCAAATTACGTGTAAGCTCCATGACGACATTACTCCTAACTATTCACAAACATGAGTAAACCGTTTCACCGGTTCTGAGAGCACTTAAACTTTGTTTTACATCTGAACTTCATGAAGCAATGTGCTGCATGTTTACGTGTCTTTCTTTTTCTTGCAGCCTGCCCACCCCAGAGAGGCACACTTTGTCCAGAACTTCGGCAAAGATCCAGAGCTCCTTGAGCCAATTCCATACGAGTTCATGGCATAATTTACTTCAATTAAAAAACATTTTTTGGAAACGGACCATTGTTTTTATTTGTTTTATCAAACTCTGATGGTTGTGTGTGGGGATCTCCCCCAACCTTTAATTTTCTTTCAGTGGGCATTTCTCATTAGAAAATGTAATAGAGGTATCAGCAATTCAGTATTTACCTCTATTGGTAGCATTCATTCAGGATGTTAGATTTCTGACACTAAATAACCCCATAATTTCTGACTGTGCTCATTTCAGATCTTGTACAAAATATTGCCAGGTATAGCATGAAATAAATGAAATTTTAATTCCCAAACTTTTTTAATTGAACCATTAGATTGTGTAGAAATAAACTTTCCCATGCGCAGTCGATGGGATAAAATATGACCAAGTTGTCTTTTTGCTTGGCATTTCTGTGAATGGTGAAGTGAAAGAAAAAATGGCAAGTGTACATAATGCAAGTCCATAAGCAGACTCCTGAAAAGCAAAATTGTATCTTTGCTGGTTGAAATGAGCTGTAGTAAATTATCATGCGCTCACAAGTGGTGTAACAGCCAGCTGCATATCTACTGTACATAATAAAAAGCATGAAACTATACAGATATGTGTCATAGGACCCCAACACTGGGGGAGCATTTTTTTAAATTTAATATAATGAACCTAAACAACTTATTACAAATCAGGAGTAGATTTGTGTCTGACATTACAAAGCAATGTAATTTGGGTTTATGTAAAATGATTTTATTATTGATGAGTGCTTGTATCCTAGGGCCTGTTCTAAAAGGGTAGAATGTTGTTGTGTGAAGGTATGCCTTAAATTTGTTTGCAGTTACACCATGCTAATTTGATACTGTTAAGATTACCATTTGTAGCCACATGAGGGCATACTGGGTCTACTACCTCTTGCAAACATTGGAAACAAAACTTTATTCCAAACGTCTAGCAGCAGTTATCCCAAAGGTGTAGTTAAAAAGCACTATTCCTAAACACTGCACCTTTAAATAACTGGATTTTTTTTTTTTTCATCCCATTGGCCATTCACTTGTAATCTCACCTGCCCCAGCATTGCAAAACCCTTGAGTCCTACATTAACAATTCACCTTGCTGCTTTCAGCTAAAAGGTAAAATCTGAGACACGGGGGTATATTTTTCTAAAACCCTACACACTTATTAACCCTTAATCGGAGGAACACGTGGGTTAGGTGGCCGCACTGTAACATAGATGTGTAATACAAATGTACAAAAGCAATGTCTATAGTACAAATTCTCACCAATAAATATTGTAAACCAATCCAGGTATAGTGTGGGCAAATGCAAACTTGATCTTTGTTTCAGCGCAAAATCGGACGTGACATCAATTAGCAGCTCATGTCTGTCGGGAGCACCAGAATGGGGAAGAGTTATACTGGATTTTCCTTTTCAACCATGTCATTTTCAACTAAGAATTGAAGATTATATTAGCTTTAGTGTACTAATAATCTTAATTTTAGTAATGACAGGAGGCGAATATTTGCATATCTTTCTTTACTGAAAACTCCAGCAGCATAGAAACATAACAACCAATCAGAAAAAAGTTATGATGCCCATAAAAGGCCCTGTCTATGACATCACTTCCTCTTTCTTTGAAGCGAAACGATAAATAACAACAAGAGACATAATCATATTACGTCATTAGTTCAACAACATATTAGAATATCCAACTCCATTAGTTCCGCAATGCAGAGGTATGAAAGGTGAATCTTTGTCTCGATGAGAAGACGTTCACGCTGCAAGAAAAAGAAAAAAGTGAAAGGTATCTGGCGTGATAACTTGTCCGCATACAATAAGCATAAGCATCTGATATACCAACGAACATTAGAATGTGAAACATATCAATATATATGTATTCTAACGCAATGATATTTAAGGATCTATAAACACAACATAATGCAAGGTTCATGTCTAATATTCAGCCAATACAAGACCCGCAAGGTACAGGTCTAAGTAGCAAACATACAAACCATACGTACTTACCTTCCTGAACATAAAGGACATATTCTGTTCAACACGAGAAACATGGGAGGGATCCTATAGGGTGGGAAATATTCGCCTCCTGTCATTACTAAAATTAAGATTATTAGTACACTAAAGCTAATATAATCTTCAATTTTACCACATGACAGGAGGCTTCATATTTGCATTTTGAAAGCTTTGAATTGACCAATGTGAAGGAAGCATGAGATGTTTGCCGAAAATAGAAAGTTCTAAACGTACTCTCTCGCGCTCAGTCCGCGCAGCGTATAATGTCGGCTAGGGAAGCGTCAGCCGAAAAGGTTTGTGAGGCCGCCGCTCCCCTGACCGAGTGGGCTCCGAAACAAGGTTCGACGCTAAAGACAAAAACCAGCGGACCCATCTGGCCAGTGTTGCGGTAGACACCGGTCCATGAGGGTTCACGTAAGAAGTCAGAAGGTGATCCGTCAAATGAGTTCAAAGGGGGTAGAGATATTGGTGTACCCCATTAGCGTTCTGACCACGCATAGTGTGGCGTCTGACACAAAGCATGGGTATGACACTGAAGACGAATCAGACTTGGTTCGTCTCGACATGGTAAAGGTAACCCCGTCTGGTGTGAGAGAGAACCCATCCATATCGCAAGCCCTAACGTCCGCCACCGTCTAAATGAGGCGAGGCATAATAAGAGGGCTAGTTTGGCTGAAAGTTGCTTCAGTGACAAACAAGGATTATCCGGCCATTCCCTAAGGAATCTCAGCACCACATCCACCTGCCAGAGGCGTGAATATTTGGGTGCAGGGATCTCGACAATTCGGCACCCCGCAGTAGTCGACAAACCAGTGTATCTTGACCTACTGGTCTGCCCTGTACCGGAACGTGCGCCGCCGATATGGCGGATCTGATCACGTTGAGGGATCGATATGACCGACCCAACGAGACCAGGTGTGACAGATAGTTGAGGATCAGTGGGACAGGTGCGGTAAAGGGATCGGAATCCCTTTCCACACACCAATCACTCCAGGCCGACCAGGCAGAAATATAGCCTTTCCTGGTGCTGGGAGCCTATGAGTCCCATAGGAGGTCTTAGTTGATGCAATAGGTCGTGAACTGACCAGGAGCCCCTGAAGCCGTCCAGGCAACTAGTGCCAGTTGTCCTTCCATGACAAGGGAGTGGGCTTCCCCTCGAGGTCCCGTCAGAAGTAGAGGGAAGGTAGGGAGTGTAGAGGGTCTTCGCGAGACATCTCCAGGCGATCCGGGAAATCACGGTTGGCCCTGCCCGAGGGGTGTCATGAGCAGGAGCGATATCTTGTGGGTGTGTGTGTGTATCGAAGCACCCTTGCTATTGTGGAGAACGGCTGGGTCGCGTTTGCAGGGGTTCATCCATCGCCCCGTATCCGAAGGAAGAGTCAAAGGTCGTTTTGCCAATCCAAGTTTGTATGTGAAGTAATCACCATCGAAATTCCATCCTCACTTCCGCTGACAGTGGGATCCAGTGGTCGTATGAGTGACCGGTGGGTACGTATCTCACCATCAGTCGTAGTGGGCCAGGGAATAACGTTTGTATGGAGGAGGAGAGGAGGAGCAGAATCCCACAATCCGACAGCTATCCTTATAGAGGCGCTCTTTGCCGTAGACAGACGCGGAAAGTAGTTCTCCAAGCCGATGTCAAAACCGAGGAACTGGCCCGATTCAGATGGGGAAGCGATCTTTGTCTGTGTATAACAAAATACACATGGAGTCCCGAAAGTGAACGACAAATTTGTCTGCAAACGTAGCCTGGATTCGTAAAGAATCAGCAAGTCTTCCAGGTATAAGAGGCATCGCACGCCCAAATTTACGGATGTGTGCCCTCACTGGTTACAGTAGGTTCGCGAGCACCACGGAGTCGTAAACTGCCGTGTTTGTCCTCACCATTGGAATCGGAGGAAAACTTCGGCAGTCCAGGGCAACGGGTACTGACAAGCGTGCGTCCTTGAGGTCCAGATGTGTAAACCAGTCGTTATCGCCTAGGAGGTCTTGTAGAAGACGAATTTCCTCCATCTTGCAGCATTTGTATACCATGTAGGAGTTCCATTGATGTAGTCTCCTGGCTTCTTCTTGACCAGGAAAAATTTGCTGGGGAAGCCTTCCCCTCCGGTGCATGTTGAATTGCGCCCCTCCTGAAGAGGGTGCAGATTTTCTTGTCCACGAGGCGTTCCTGTTCCGCCAGCGTGCGTAATGGAGGTGAAGGGGCGACCTGCACGGCTGTGATAAAACCCTATGACATAGCCTTGTACTGTCTGGAGAACCCAGGTGACTTTGGTAGTCGTCTCCCAATTCTGTAAAACAGAGACAGGTTGCCGGTCATAATATTGGAAACAGTTAGTTATGTAGGTTGACACACTAGTAGATGAAGCGGATGGGTTCCTTTGTGTAGTAGATGGGAGAAATATGAGGACTGTGTATACGATCTGGAACCTGTCGCCCAGGAGCGGCTGGTGGCTCGGTTCAGCTACCGACCAGTCCTCCCAGAAACACCTTTCCCCGTAGGGTTGTAGAAGACTTGTTTTAGCGAGGTCTGGGTTTAATTTAGTGTGGTGAATAAATTCATGTGTTTCTTGAGTACTGCAATGAACACTACATCGAATAGTAGGCCTTGTGCTTTTAGGCCGAATTCTTGTCGTTCCTAAGCCCAATAGTGTGTTGTCGATGCGGCCCAGTACAGATTTGTGTCTGTCGGCGCATAGTGCTTCATTTACGTTGCCCAGGAGGCATATCGAGCATTGAGACTATTCTTTGGAGGTGGTAGGGTTGAGTTGTGTACCCTGGGGTAACTCGGTCTTGAGGCGTGCGCATCCTTCCATCCCCCGAGGGTTGCGCAGCCAATAGTGTTCGTCCAGGAACGTTCCGTCTTCGGCTACTCTGGTTTAGTGCCGCTACAGTTATCTCTGCCTCAGCCGCCATCACAGAGTAAGGTTTCCCTAACGTACTTCGAGGAAGTGTGGGGAAGGTCTTGCCGTTCCATTTCCTCAGACGGTGAGCTGTCTTCGTGTCGCTCATCTACCATGTCCAA